ATAGCCGGCGACTGAGCTTATTAGCCGGCGGATTTTACTGTATAAAATTCCGTCCCAAGCTGAGTTGGGCTTAATAGGCGGCTGGGCTTAATACCCGGCGACTACTGTATTAAGCGTTTATTATTAATAACAAAAAATCCGGTAAAAAATATTACTGGACATATGTATAGAAGAGTTATATGTAATGTTCAATATTACAATTCTAAATTTCCGGTAACTGGCTGCTGTGAACAACAGGTTGTGTTGTGGCCGGTCTACTCGAGGGCTAAACTGAAGCAATTCGAATATTCCTTCTAATTCCTTAAGCTAAGGTATGTGTATGTAACTTTGGAGAGTTTTGCTGACCGTGAGCGAAGTCATTGCGGTACATATTTGTAATATCATCACTTAACCCTAGTGGACCAACGACGGACGAGTATAGGTTGGGGGTTGTTCACTAACCTTGGATGAGGCTACTGATGTAAATTTTTTAATATCATCACTAACCCCAACTGGACCAACGGTGGGCGCGTGTAAGTTGGGGGATGTTCACTGACCCTGGGTGAGGTTATTGAAACCGTTTTTCCTCTTTTAGGAACCTCAATACTTCAGATGATGTATATCGTTGTCTAGTTTCTTGCGTGAAGGTGTCTTTCCTCTGTTAAACCGCAACTGCATGAAAATAATTTTCGTGTGATCATCAGCGAACTATCTTAGGCAAACGCTAACCGCGATTATGTAAAGGTAACAAACGGTTTGTGTAGTAATTGCAAGTGCAACTGTTGCTTCTTTTTTAGCGAGATAAGCTGCGGCAATGTAATGGCAAGGCTGAGTAGACGAAGAAGGTGAAGAGTAGGCAGCGATATAGTAGCAGAGTTGTCAATGCACGTTGAAGAAGCGGGACGCGATGCGCAGCTACTAATCTGCCGACTTAAATGAAAAGGCATAAATACCCCTACTGAAACTAATATAGTAGTTATGTTAGTGTTTCTTTCCAAAATGGGCCTACACACGCTACGGTTACCAAGTTTTCTTTTCCAAAGCGGAAGCTGATTATGCTAGAAATCACGACCCTAGTAAAATTAGTTGGTAGGATTACGTCGTGGGGTCGTCTGGGGAAAGTGTGAAGCGCGACCCGCGGGCAAACGCACACCTGATTTTCGGGGAGAGGACGGTCGGGGCATGTCAGGGAACAAATTAGATCCCAATATTTTTGTTAAATAAAAAAGTTACGAGGGCAAGTTGGGTCGCGTACTCAAACCTTAGGAGAAGACACTAAATGAGCTTTAATATCATCGCTAACCGCCCGACCAACGGCGAACGCGTATATGGAGGGGGAGTGTGCCCAAGCCTCGGGCGAGGTAACAGAGATACATTTTCCAGTGTTATCACCAATACCAACTAGGAAAAAGTTTAAAGAAGAACAAAGTGGCGAGATTATGTGAATCACCCTACTTAAAAATTGTAAGTAAGCGATAATTCCCGTGGCTAGTTCA